GCACTGACCGCTTTATCCAGAGAGGGGCCAACAGGGAGTCTTGTTAGATGGAAAGACAGAGCAAGGAGAGCGGCAGGAAGTCTGATGTGAGATGAAAGACCCAATAAAAATGTGCAGCAAGAAAGTTAACCATTTTAGAACTATGCACACACAAGGCCTGAAGGTCAACATAGAAAATATAGAAATTTACATTTGAGACATCATTATAAAAACCTCAAATGTGCAATAAAAAAAGGAAATATTTATATGTTTAACTGTTTTATTTTCTTTTTAAAAAATGTGATATGGTTTGATGCAAACTGTGGAGAAAGAACAGTTGAAGTTGTATGTTCTGTTCTGCTCTGAGTTCTGTTCATCTAACGGGACCTTTGTGGAATTTTTACAGGCATGATGATTTTCTACAAAAGTTTTAATAGTCTAAACACCACAGTTAAAATGCCAGCTATTGTGATTTCAAAACAGGGTCATGATAAATTACCTAAAGGGTTTTAACAAAAAACAGTTATTTATCTAATGCAATTTAACTGAAAAAAAGGAATAGAAAAAAAAGTTAAATTATTTTTTTCAGTAGTCCCCACTGCCTCAAACTAATATTACCTTGAAGTACCATGTGATTAATATTTAGCATTTCAGCATTATATTTTGGTATGATTTTATCAGCGTCTCACCTCTTGACTTATCTATAATGGCCCACTCTTACTTGTCCGTCATAATATGAAGGCTATTAGATCTATCAAATCATCCTCCTCAGTTTTCTTGTTGATACATAACAGTTTTAGTTGAAAACTCTCAAATATTTTAAACAATTTATATTTTCCTCTACCTTGGTAAGATCAGCAGATCCAAGTGAAAAAGATTAACATTAGATCATGATGCTGCAACCTCCATATGTTCCTCTGGTGATGTACAGGATTGTTTTAGTGATGACATTAAATATTGGAATTTGGACCCTGAATTTTACTTTACTGTTATCAGCTCATGCTTCTTTAAGAGACAGTTTCTAAATATCTCTCCAAGATACATTTGTTTGGCAACACCATTAGACTGGGTGTATAATTGCTGCCATGGCGCTGGCCAGCACAGTCACTAAAATCTTGGCAGCGTGGGGAAATACACAGATGGTTTTGGCGAACTTTCCTGGTTAAGCACAGATTATGAAATATATGATTTGAAGTTGACAAAGTGCAGTGCATGGGGAAGTATTAATTTAGTCTAATAGAAAGCTGCAAACTCAAATTTAAAATCCTGAAACCAGACAAGTGTTCTTAATAGTATTTCTAATGATGCATAAGCAAAAAACAGTTTTAAAGACTTAATTCATTCTCAACTTTCAATCAGCCACTAATTCTCTGTTGCTGAAAGCCTATCAGCTCTGTGCACACCTCCACCATAGCCAATCATCATAAGACTCTGTGTTCCAATAGCGTTTTAGTTTTATTAAGCTGCAACCTTCCTCCACACCATCGCCTAAATCCTCCTTGTTTTCATCTAACTCCCTCCCTCCTCCATTCCACCACGACTGTCAAGTCCCTGGGAAGACGTTCCAATCCTAATTCGTAACATCGTCGTTCTTTATGTTTACATCTTCCACCAGGGCCTGAGCCTTGAAATCTATATTTCTTATTTCATTAAAACTCTAATTGTTGCTTTTCTTCCTTGTGAGAATTTCCAGGTTGAATTAATCAAAAATACTTGGTGGCAAAATATACAAACACTTTTTTTTTAAGTTAGAAATCTAGCACAGTAAAATGAAATAGGCATGAAAAGCTGTAAATCTATATTATTTTTCTTAATTACAAATGTATCTTTCATTGCAAGTTATGTAGGCTATTATTAGGACGATTATTAGGAATTACTGTAGATTTTCCATGTAATTGAAACAGGCAAAATAAGTCAGAACAGTCGGGTTTAATCACAACTGTGATACTGAAACATGAAGACATCAAAAAACAAAATCCTCTTCTGTTCAGTTTTATAACAAATGTGCTTGATTTTGATTGTTGCCGGCTTAATCACAGCCTCCAATCTGTGATTATTGCTGCATTCACAGAAGTCCTTTTTATGCATATTTGATGGGTCTGATTTTTTTAAGATGCTAAATATTCACATAGCACAACTGATTACGAGATGTTTATGGAGACCTGCTTGTTTTTTCTTCTTCCTAAATGTGATCTGATGGCTACTGGACCAAGTACCTGATTTAAAGTAAGAGGCTAATTTATGAATTATGCAGTAACAGAATGACTAAAACCACTTAGTTATTTAAAACTGCAGCTGTTAAAAGCAAAGTGTTGCTGCGGGTCAGAGAGGTTTTCATTTAGACGCATAAAAATAATTCAAACAAATGTTGCTTCTAAGTTAAACCGCTCCCTAAAAACAATACAAAATGAAACAACAGATAAATCAAGTCAAATCATGCAAAAGGGCATGTAGCTGATCAAACTCTCCTTTGTAACAAAACAAAAAGAAGCGATTTCCTGATTACTGTTAACCAGAAATTAAGAGCATGATTAATAGTGTCGACTTAGTTTTCTTTTTTTAAAGTACAATTTATTTTGATAACACTGCAGTAAAAAAAAGGAGATGATCAACCATGTATGAGGTGAAAAAAAAGAAAATAAGATATTAAACAACAGATAAAGATTGCCAGGTTTGGTGGAGGTTGGTCAAGGAGGAGTTCTTGCAGATTTAATTTAGATGCAGATGGCAACAGAAGGATAAATCCATGAGAAAATTACAACCCAATTAACAGGAAAACAAAACTAGGAGAAACCTGAGTGAAACACACAAGAGGAGTGAAGCAATAAAAAAACTGCACAGGAGGTGTATATACTGTATAGGGAAGACAGAACAAATAACAGGCTAATCAGCTGTTCTTTGTCTTGAGAGCTGTACTAAACAAAATTTCGTTTTGTATACACCCTGTGTGTACAAAATGACAATAAAGTTTGTCTAAGTCTAAATGTAAGAGAAAAGAATCTGGTCACTGTGACGATGGCACATGGCACATGGAANTTTGATAACACTGCAGTAAAAAAAAAGGAGATGATCAACCATGTATGAGGTGAAAAAAAAGAAAATAAGATATTAAACAACAGATAAAGATTGCCAGGTTTGGTGGAGGTTGGTCAAGGAGGAGTTCTTGCAGATTTAATTTAGATGCAGATGGCAACAGAAGGATAAAACCATGAACAATTAACAGGAAACCAAAACTAGGAGAAACCTGAGTGAAACACACAAGAGGAGTGAAGCAATAAAAAAACTGCACAGGAGGTGTATATACTGTATAGGGAAGACAGAACAAATAACAGGCTAATCAGCTGTTCTTTGTCTTGAGAGCTGTACTAAACAAAATTTGGTTTTGTATAGACCCTGTGTGTACAAAATGACAATAAAGTTTGTCTAAGTCTAAATGTAAGAGAAAAGAATCTGGTCACTGCGACGATGGCGCATGGCATATGGAACGCAAAAACTGTGCCGAAAGAGGTGATACCAGCTGGCATTGTTGTTCGTTCCCTGGAAAAGGGCTGATGGAGGGTGAACTTGTGGTCGACTGGCTTAAATTGGGGAAGACAGTGTGGGACTCTAAAATACATGAGAATCATCATGGATGCAATTTGCGGACCTGACAAATGCTGTCAAAGATCAGGACAGAAAGAAGAATGGCAATTTAGTCATCATACCAGGAGGAATGACAAGCCAGCTACAGCTGTTGGATTTGGTGGTTAACAAGCCTTTGAAGAAAAATCTGCACAAGAGGTAGACTGAGTGCCTCCTGTCAGGTGACTAGGCACTCACATGGTCTGCAAAAACCCAAAAGCCAGCTATATGCCGACTTTGCAAATGGATCCTCCAGGCATGGGATGAAGTACCATCAGAGAACATCATCAATGGATTCAAAAAATGCTGCATCTGAATGCATTGGATGGTAGTGAGGATGATGTTCTGTTGGAGGAGAGAGGACTGCAGGATGAGAGTGGGATTGGCAGTGAGTGCAGCGAGGGAGGGGACGTCTGTTAGTAAAAACCTCACTAAGGTTTTTGAGATGTTCCATAAGCACAGATCAGATTGCTTTTGAGTTCAAGTGTTGGAAGTGAACCTTTCAACTAATTGTGTAACTACAGTGATTTTCCTGTTTCAATGTTGTTTAATTACACAAATCTTTGTTCTTCTATGAAAGATTGATTTGTGGATTCTGTCTAAACAGGTGTGATAGCAGCAGCTACATGTTTGCCATGTTTGTTTTGGTTTAACTTGGCTCAGCTCCTCTTGTTTTTGATCACAGCTGCATATTCTACCTGGAAAAAAACTACTGCATTTTGGCTGACCCATTTTGGGTCAGTTTTGAAATGGTTGAGGCAGGAGTGGGAAGAAAATACATTCCCATCTTTCTGTGAAAACTCAAACCCTGCAAAAATGCAGCTTGCAGTAGGGTTTCTGTCTGTCTAAAAAATATCCAGCTTTAAAATAGAATTAAGCTGATATTTTCAGTGTGAATTTATTCACTTTTACACACTTTTGGCTTGTGAATTATGTATATACTCTGATGACTCTTTATTTTACATAAGCCAACTGTTATTTTATAGTTAATCATCTCTGCTTATCAGTTATTTTTCAGATGTAACCGTTGCTCATCCTTAAACTTTGAATTTCTTTGCTAAAGGCATAACATATACATTGTCATTTGCTGCAACTCCGTACCTGTTCAAGCCAGCATGACAGTCAACAGATGAGGATGCCTGCTCATTACTACAATTCTCTTGACAATTGGATTGGGTTGTGACAGCAAAGTCAATGTGAATCCTAATCCATACATGCGTGTCCTAAAAAAACTGTACTCCGGGGGTTCTAAACTAAGGCTGCACAAAGGTGAAGAAACAAACAAGCATCCTAACATGTGGGCAATGGATTTTGTGTTTTCCCGAGGAAATCCAATACAGCAGCGATTTAAAAACTACACACAGCTACAAACTGACAGCCTCATGTCTGAGTGCTCCTACCTGACAATAAAGGAGCGCCGCGGGGTGAGGCTGTAGTCGTGGTCGGGCTGGGGCGGGTAGGAAAGGTCTGCTGACACGGTGAGTCCAGATCCTTGGAGAAGCAGCGTGACGCGGTCAGGAAGCAGATCTGAGGTTTCAGAGGTGAAGGTGATGGAGAGGAGTTGGCCATAGCTGTTGACTTTGTGACCCAGGAATTTCTCTAGAAGGAAGGACACAGATTGAATGTAAGGGAGGAGAGTTAGGTGAGTTTTTCATTTAAAGTCTGGGCCAGTCTGCTTGGAAATGAAAAAAAAAAAAAAGTTGTGGAAGCTTGTGATGACACTTTACAGTCATTTCACAATATTACAGGCACTCTGTATTGTATTGCCATTTTATGAAATATTAATAAAAGAGGAGAAAAAAGGGTGTATGGTTTGAGAATGTTTTTATTAATAAAAATCCAGTGCATTTTCATTTAGACCCCTTTATACTATTAACATAATTAAAATGCAGTGCAGCCAATTTCCTTTAGAGGCAACTTAGATTGTAAATATAGTTTATCTGCTGGTAATTTTATTTAACCATCAATCCAGTCATTCTGTGGAAATGAGTAAATAATGCATAACAAATTCAAATGATCGAACTAAGCACAAAGCTTAAGCAAGCTTAAAGCATTGTCAAGCTTAAAGCATTGTCATATCATGATGCACTATGACTTAATGCAAACCTCATAGACAACTGTGCAATCCTATCATATCAAAATGTAATGACTACAATGACTAATCTTGAAATCTACCAAGACATGGCCATCCACATAAACCGAAAGAGGCAAGAGCTCATGAAGCTGTACAGATCCATAGGAGTGTCAATCTGTTGACAGGTCATTTAGCCGTAATTTAATCCCCAGATTTGGCATTTAAGTAGAAATACAATAAGGAGGTCATTGTTGAAAGAAAAAGGAAAAAGATGGCATGTAGACAACAGATTTCCTGCCATGTCATAATTTAGTCAATTTTATATGTATTTACCTCCAATGTTATAAATTCTTGCATTAGCCTAATCGGTTTAATGTTTTTGGCATAGCATTTAAAAATACTTCATAAGGTCAAATGAATAATCTGCATAATGCTAGCACATATTTGCTAACTTACAACAAATGTAGACACCCCAAGCCATATTAGATACTAAAATATAGTTGCTGCTTAAAGGATAACAGATTTTCCCTTTAGTCAGATTCAGCGCATATAACAAAGATTATCCCCATTTGAGAAAATATGAAAATATGAGAGATGTAAAGCGTTTAGTGAAAGTGTTGCATCAGTCACTGCAACTGAAAGTTTTTTTTTTTTTTTTTTTTTTTTTTTTACCTCAGATTCTAAGCTAAATCTGAAAGCTTCCAAGACGTGTTGTTCCTTAGTCAGCTGTCAGACTCGTCAACACCCCTGCTGGCAAGTATGACAGCATTTAAATGCTTTTTGTAGAGAGCTATTAGTGATTTTGATGAATTCCATTTTTCTTTCCTTGAAAAGGGTTTTTATGTACTCACAGATTCATTCTTAGTATTCTGACCTATCTATCTTCACCTGTATTTCATCCTTCTTCCAATCACTCATGTCCAAAGTATGACTAATCCACTTCTGTGCTTGACAGCTAAGTGTACTGTGCAATCTTCCAGGATTCCCTTTAACATTATATTAAAGGTATTCTAAAGGAGATCTTAAAAATAAGTGATCCTCCCAATTGTAAATCATTCTGGTAATATGTTTACGTAAAACCTTTTTTTTTCCTAACAGCCCAACCCCAATTTCAACTAACGGGGGGGAAGCCGAAAAAGGGGAAAAAACACAAAGCTTCTAGAAAAAAAGAAGCTTGGAGGAATGCAAAAAAAAACTAAAAAAAAAAGCGACAACAAGAAAAAAGCGACTGCAGGACCACCAATAAGGAAGAAGGCCCCCCTCGGAGCAGCCACAAGCCTTGCAAGGGAAATTTCTAAATTTCTTTTAAGTGGAGAGGGGCAGGGCGTTTCAAAAATTCACAAAAATCCTCCATTATACTTTGAAGTATCTTTCCATGTGTTTGAAATTAAAGTGAAATGAAAAGATCTCCATTTTAAAATAATTATTATAGCTCAAATACCAAAATGTTTTAAAATGTTTTCGTTTCCTTGTTCTCGGATTAACACTTTTAACTGAAAAAGACATTTGCCATCATACAAGTGGCATTGATTTAAAATTTGATTTCTTTCTAAATAGTTCAGTGTACAAATAATCCTTTCTGGTAAAATGCTACAACCTTGATTTATTTTAAATGTCATGTCAATATAATGTCATACGGACAGATATTAACAAGTACAAAAGCAAAGCAATAAACATGGTGGTGGCCACATAATACAGTGGGAGAACCTGTTGGAATCAGAAATATAGAAATCTTTGAAGAAAATGGAGGAATTTCAATTCTTGAAATGACCCAACAAAACTTTAATTTGGATTGTATAACTTTAGGTTAATATGCATTTAAACCTAATCACAGTTACTTCGAACTTTAAAAAAAATATATGAAAAAAATCTTAAATCTTAAAAGCCATTACAATTCTACAATTTTTTACCAGATGTAGTTAAGCGGGAGGGAAAAATGACAGGTTGCACGCTTGGCTGCTTTCTTGTTTTTGTGCGTAATCGTGTGTGAAGTACATCCTGAGCTCCTTGGGGGTTTAAGAGGGCTTTGGAATTGAGTGGGTGATTTTGCTTGCAAGGGGTCTCTGGCATCATTCAGTGCAATTCAGCCGTCTGATCATCCAATATCTGCTCAACCAGGAGTTGGCTTTTATTTTTTGTGCGATGCCCTTACACGGCCCGCTTTCATCGGCAGCTACGCTGATGAATGTTTTTATCTCAACTGCATTCAAATTGACTTTCTGATACCCTAAAATGAGATATTTTCTAGCATTGGTAAAATGTTACTGACAGCATAAACAACCAGTAATATGTTTTTTCTTGTAGAATGCATTTAGTCAAATTTGTCCTTTCCTCTATCAGTCACTTTGTGCACTTTGTTTTAAATAAAATATGATGTTCTTTACACATTGCATTTGCTCTGCTTTCCAATAAATCATCCTTCTGTCACTTGAGTGCTGCTTAAAAGTTTACACAGCCATGTTAAATGAACTGTTTTTGTAATGTAGAAATTAAACCTATGTGTATATTTTCATAACTTTGTCCTGTTTTAATCTGACAACAAATAAAAAATACATATAATGTAAAAATGAAATGCTATAAGAAAAATGTTGCAAACTTTCAAACTAAACCTCTGTGAACCATCTTTTCATGGAATTTCTGTATTTAATATTATTTTGCTCTAGCAGCAGCCCACATATAGACTTGCAGAACTTGTAGATCTATTAGAGTGCATCGGTTATTCATATAGCTTTTCAGTTGGACCTAAAGATCCCATAAAATTTAGTGGCAAACTCTTACTAGACTGCACCAAACTGCATGGCACATTATTTTTTTTCATACGTATTGTAGAAATAAATAGACGGACGAACAGACAGACAGACGGATAGAGAGATGGATTGCATATGTATATAATCGAAATTGTAGATAAAAACCCCTATTGTGTATATTAATTTTATCATTATATTTTCATTAGCACATAAGAGAACATTTTTAAACTGAGGATTGCAGCCTTTCATTTATCTCTATATTTCCCTGTATGCAAGTAACAGGTTTACTGTGAGGACACATTAATAAATAGAGAAGAGGACATGATTATTTATATTAATCATCCAACTTTAGGATCAGGATTTGGAGGAAATTGGAACCGGGCAGTGATTCAATGACAAAGGCTTTTGTTCCATGGGTAATCAATAGTACTTTCTGTTTAATCCCAAAAGCCATCACTCATGTCCGACAGACTTCGGATGCAAAGGAAATAGATAATTATTGCTAATCAGACACAGAGGGAGTGGCATGATAAACACCTGCTTTCCAGTCATTGGCACAGAGGATGCAGCCCGCATCCTTGTTTCGAGCATATGCGTCTCTGAGGAGTTTGAAATCAATGCCAGTTGAAAAGGCTAAACAAATTAAAGTAGAAAATCTCTACTGAAAGAATATAAAGGCATACGTGTTATATGCATTTCCAATTAGTCAAGACTTTGTCTGATAGGCTGAGTCACAAATGTACATCTGAACTATTGGAGAGAAGATAACCTCTAATAGAAGAGAACGATCAATATTTATTTCAAAGCTTTTTCACTGCCCTTATGCTACACAGATACCACAAAACCTTTTAAGAAACAAACAAAGACATTTTTATCTAGACAGACATTAGTTTAATGTGTTTCTAGTTTTAATTACAGTACCTTATTTTATGTGGAGCACTTTGATAGTCTGATGCCTGGAAAAGTTGCTATGGAAGTATCTTTTATTCCTATTACTTAAAAAAAAATGTAGAAATGATATTGGTATCTTCAGTTTTATCTATGTTTGACTGTTCTGTTACTTCTAATTTCTGAAATGATGTATGCTTGCCAGATTTGAAAATAGGCTCTCTCCAATGAGTCGCTCAGACAAATACCACTCAAGCGACACTCAAAAGTCTAGCCTTTGCCAGCAGAAGATTACTGTTGCTTTAGAGAACAGCCCCAGTAGAGCCACTGATTTTGCAGAAAAGACAAGAGGTAATTACCTACATTTGGGGAGTGATACACAGTAATACTGAGTAATGGGAGAATTCAATGTTCACTGAAAATAAAAGTCAATGGTTATTACATCTAAGGTAATTAATTGGGAATATATATGGCACATACCTTGCATAACTGTGGGTAATGAGCCCAGTAATATAACTATGCGATTAAACTAGAATTTGCACCTAATGCTCCCTTATGGTTTCAAACATGTGTGTAGCTTGGAGGCTGTTATAAAATATAGGTACTATTCACTTACGATTGAGATGTTTTTTTTTCAGCATGAGGGGAAAAAAAAAAGCATTGAAAGCACAATACAACAAAAACGATACAATATTATCAAATAATTGCACTACTTGCATAAGTACATAAATCATTCCAGCCACAGGATTACTCATTTTAAACTGCACTTTCTTAAATTAAGTGTATTTTTATTTATTTTTTATGATATTTACCTTTAATTTGACTAGGTAAATAAGATGATTTGCCAATGCAATGAGTATTTTTACTCTTAAAATAAGATATTTAGATAA